CGCCTTTCCATCCTCTCTACCACATCATAAATCTCTCCCTAATTCCAATTTCTTGAAAAGATGGGCCCATCAATCCATCCTTCACAATATAGCCATGTAGCCATCAGTTGGGTGTTAGGCGCACACATAAACTTTAGAGTCTGATAAGTCCAAGGGCTGACGATCAGCTTGCCCCTTATTAGCTAGGTGGCTTTGAACATCTCTCTCAGCTTAAGTTTCTGATGTGTATAAGAGGGGAACACATTTCATTATAGGGTTATTGAGGGACTGAAAGAAATGTATATATGTCTTCAACAAAGTTTGGCACATAATGGACATTCAAATAACAATAATTATTACAACAAATGTTACTATTACTTTAAAATCCTATTATCACCTCATTACCTATAGAATCAACGCCATAATAGCATGTTATTTGATATCCTCTATGATTGAACTACTTTTCAAATCTCATATTATTTCACCCAGCCACAGTGGGCTCCTCACCATTTTTCCACCACAACAGGTAAATTCTTACTTTCAAGTCTTTTGTAATAGTGGTCATTGGACTCAAACAATCTTTCCTTATTATTGTAATTTGATGCCATCTTTCAAGACTCAACTCATGACATTTATTTGAAGTCTTCCCTAATATCCTTGGTTAAAGTTAATCACTCCTGACTCTGACCGTTATGCACTTTTTTGGTGTACTGTCAGAGAATGTGTTGTGTTCCACTTGATATTATAGGCCCCTTTATAAACATCAGTAGCTTATTCTAGATGGGAAGCTCCTCTAATACAGGAATCTTTCTTGGTCATCTATGTATGTCCCACTGTGCTGATTCCAGCATTTTACTGACACCCACAATTGTTGAAAAATGATTTGCTTAAAATAAAGTTTTAAATGTATCGTGGTTCCAAGGGGATTCTGAGGATCCCCTAAGAATGCATTGCCAAACATATGTTGCTACTTCCCTTCTCCACTTCTTTTTTTTTTTTTTTTTTTTTTTTTTTGAGACTGTCTTGCTCTGTCACCAGACTGGAGTGCAGTGGTGCAATCTTTGGCTCACTGCAACCTCCGCCTCCTGGGTTCAAATGATTCCCCTGCCTCAGCCTCCTGAGTAGCCGGGACTATAGGCACGCGCCATCACATCTGGCTAGTTTTTGTATTTTTGTAGAGGAGATGAGGTTTCACCATGTTGGCCAGGATGGTCTCAATCTCTTGACCTCATGATCCACCCGCCTCGGCCTCCCAAAGTGGTGGAATTACAGGACTGAGCCACCATGTCTGGCCTCCTTCTCCACTTCTTATTAACTTTCACTTAATGATATTACTATCTTTATTATTTATCACTATGACCACATCACTACTTTCCTTAACATGCTAAAATGAGCCATGACTTCCTTGAAACCATACCTATAACAAGCTAATGCTCTTATGTGCGCCAATGTTTATCTAACAATTTCTTACTTCTATTAACTATGCTTTTTCCTTTTGCACTTCACAAACCCTAATGTGGGATTCAGTACTTCGTGTATCTTGTGAAGAAAAATGTACACCTACAAGAAACCTCGCCCTTGATTTCCCCCAGTAACCTGTACAAAGCCCTTCTCTTCAAAGCTTCATTTATATCTTCCAAGTGTAACTAGTTCATTTTCTTTTTGGCATGCAGATTGCTCTAAACTGTATGGTGAAGTTGGCCAAGGGCAGGCCCCATCTTAGTCAAACAGTGGTTGAGACCTTGTTGACTCAGTTGCACAGTGCTCAGGATGCTGCCCGGATTTTGATGTGCCACTGTCTGGCAGCCATTGCCATGCAGCTGCCGGTGCTGGGTGATGGGATGCTTGGTGACCTCATGGAACTGTACAAGGTGATTGGACGATCAGCCACAGACAAGCAACAAGAACTTCTGGTAAAAAGCCCCATTTTGAATCTCCTGTGAATGACTAGGCTCTGGTCTCGTGGGGATTACTTTTAAGTCAACATTACTGTTTGGCTTTACTTAAAAAACAAAACAAACAATAGGTTAAATTCATTAAGACTAAAGAGTGTGTTGATGTCAAAATAGAATTGGCTCTATGAGCTTTTCACTTTTTTCACTTTTGATTTAGAAAGCCATTTTTGTTCGCCTCTAAAAGTGCTTTCTTCCTAAGCCTTGTCAAATCAGCTTAGTGTAGCCAAAGCCTTCAATCTCATGTTTTTATTTTATTACAAAGGACAAAATGAAAATGGAACTTTTTTCTTTCTTATACAAAGCAAATAATGAACTAAACCCTGTTTTATACTTCAGAAAATAGAAGTTAAAAATCTAATGATAATAAGAAGGAAAGAGCCTGATTAGCCCAAATTTATGTTTTTCATTCCAGGACCTCTTTAGCTATTTAGGATCCCATTTAGGCTTCTGTAGACCCTTGGGATTAGAAAAGGTAGATGCTTAGAAAGAAACAGAAACTATGGAAGTTGTAAAATGTTTAGTTGAAAAGTTCTTCAGGACTGAGAGTAGGGTACATTCTAAATAGTTGTAAATGAAATGAAAGTTGTAAGGTCGCCACTTTGTGTTGTTCCGTTCATCTGAATGTAGAATGTGGGAAAAAACATAATGAAATGACTTATTCAAGCCTGTTTTAATCCTCCAGAGGTAATTGTATAAAAGATTGACCCCATCTTATCATTTGCTGCTAGAAAAGGCTACCTTGATGACCAGGTGGCTGTGGTCAAGGGGATGACATCATACAGTTATTAAAATATATACGGATCTTTATATGAATCAGCTTTGAAATATTAACAGGCAGTTAGCTAAGTTTATTTTTTATTGAAGTTGTATTTTGAACTAACGGCCCTTATATCCTTTTTGTGAGTACCACTTTAAGATAAAAAATCTAAGGAATAATACAGTGAAAACTCTTGCATTCATTATCTAGCTTAAGAAAAAGATATTACCTGTTTAGTTGAAGCCCCCTGTGTACCTTGCTGATAGCGTCTCCTCCCTTCTCTCAGAGGTAACCACTATCCTGAATTTGGGTATTTCTCGTTCTCATGCCTGTTATTCTTTTACTACCAAAGTGTATATCCCTAAATAATATTCAGTATTATTTTGCATATTTTAAATTGTATATAAACATTATACTACTTGTAATCTTTTGCATTTTGCATATTCTTGCCTATTTTGCTTGTCATCTATATTGGTAAATATATCTAGTTTATCCATTTTATTTATGTATCTCATTGTGGATTATAAGTTATTTAATGTATGTACGCACATTATGGACATTGCTTCTAGTTATTTGCTGTTATAAAGAGTGCTCTGAGTGAACAGAATACATTACTTAATGACTTCAAAATAAAAAATTAAATATCAATGGAAAACAAATTTTGTTCTTTTGCAGTGGGCTGTAATTAGTTTTCCTCTCTTTGGGGTAGGTTATGTATGACACTGGATAAAATTAAATTATTTTCTTGGTTCTCTTCTTGCCTGATGTTAGGTGAGTTTGGCTACTGTGATTTTTGTAGCAAGTCAGAAGGCATTATCTGTGGAAGTAAAGGCAGTGATTAAGCAGCAGCTTGAAAGTGTCTCCAATGGATGGACTGTATACCGTATTGCCAGACAGGCTTCCAGAATGGTATGTGTTACCTTTCTGAGTGAATTGGGTTGGTGGAAATGTCAGGTCATGTACCTTCAATTATATGATTATTAATCATAGTCAAACTAAAAATAAAGGTGGAAGTACCTTTTAGTCATGGGTTCTGAAGATGAGGAAGGAAAGGGCCTGATTTTTAACTTTTATCATAAATGAATGGTATATATATTGTTGTTATTAGTAATGAGGAAGTTAAAATCTGGGCCCTTTCTGGTTGTAGGTTGCTAGTGCCACTTTCATTTTGCTCTGTGTTGTCCTAACCAAGGCCACTTACCACCTGCTGTTTCTGTCTTTCTCAGTATACCACATCTTTGTTCCTCCCCCCAACCTTGTCATTCTTAAGTAGAAATGGGAGAGCTTTAGTATGCTGTACTCTTCTGAGCCATATGGAAAGTCTAACAAGCTTTATTAATTTTGTTTGAGAGGAAATAGAAACCTTGGTTAGTACAGAAATCCTAGCCAGCAGTGGGGTGGCTCACGCCTGTAATCCCAGCACTTTGGGAGGCCAAGGCGGGAAAATCTCTTGAGGCCAGGAGTTTGAGACCAGCGTGGCTGACATAGCAAAACCCTGTCTCTACTAAAATATAAAAAAAAAAATCCTTTTGGGATAAGTCCAGAGACCAAAGTTTGAGAAAGCATTACTCTAGGTGATTGAAGTGCATGTTCTTAATTTTGCGTTGCTTCTCAAATGGGGGAGGAGCACACACTCTTGGCAGGACAGTTCTTCATTATACTGATCTGTCTCAAGCATTGCAGGACATTGAGCATCCCTGGCCCCAGGCATTAACTGGTATTTACATTTCTCCCAACAACTATGCCTTCTCCCCTGAGGTTTCTCTCACCCACTAAATAGTTCATCCAGAATAACATTTATACTTTCTGTATTTTGGGCTAAAGTTCTAGACTTGGTTTATAGTTAATTCCATTCATTTTCTCTTTGGAACTGCTTTAGTAAAGAATTTCAAGCATTATGTTACATAAAAGCAACTCAGCATATTTTCTCTGAAGAAATATTTAGACAGAGTCTCAGAGAATTATATAATATGAGAAATGATTATTCAGACTTATGCAAGGTTTGGGTTTCTCTTTTAGCTGCTGCCTCAACTCTTTCAAATATAAGAACCTCACCATGTGCTCCTGTTTTTTTTCTTTATGTTTTTTGTTTTTAGGGTAATCATGACATGGCCAAAGAGCTTTATCAGAGTTTGCTGACTCAGGTTGCCTCAGAACACTTCTACTTCTGGCTAAATAGTCTGAAGGAGTTCTCACATGCAGAGCAGTGTCTCACTGGGTTGCAAGAGGAAAACTATAGTTCAGCACTTTCTTGCATTGCTGAGTCTTTAAAATTCTATCACAAGGGGATTGCTTCCTTAACAGTAAGTCCTCTTAATTCACCTTTGGTGATGATGACTTGTGTGAGAATTCTCTCCCTTCTCTTTTTCGATTGTCCTATTACAGCTAACTTGAGAAACCTGCTGATGTATATTTGGCAATAGCAACATAAGAAATAGGTCATGGAAATAAACCCTTAACCTTCCCCCTTTTTAACATTCTTAGATTGATAAAAGTTTATTATTTTCTTGTTATAAAGAACTGGGTACCACATGTGAAGAGGATTGCTGAATCCGTGTAGAAGGGGTAAGTGGTGTGGAGATAGGATCCTCCCTGTACAGACTCATATTAGTAAGATTCCAGCCTGCATCAGTATCACCATCAAACATAAACCCCTGACCTCATCTCATACCTGGCAGCTACAGACTAAGTAACTAGAGTTTCTTGCTTTATTGATAAAGAGAAATTATCAGAGATTCTAGTGTCCCACTTTGTGCCTCTCTGTGATATCCTCCTACTCCACTAGCTAACCATTTGCTAGCTACAATTTCTGTTTTCTCAGCCAAGAAAATGAAAGAGTTGCAAAGAAGGCAAATCCTTATGTTTCCTTGAAATTAGTTATATTCCTAAGTAAGAACCTGTTTCTTAAAATAAGCAATTTTTATATTAATGCAAGGGCTTTTTCCCCTTAAAAGTAAAGAGGTTATATAATCAACATAAAACATTTTTAAAATATTGTCACATGACTTTAAGAATTGTATGTATTGAGATGGGACCATAAAACTTTTAGTACCTGAAATATTTTTAATGGTGAGCTATCTCGAAACGTTTCCAAGTAGAGCAAGCAGGTGTCACACTAAAGAGACTATTCAGACTACTGTGAGGCACATACATTTTGAAGCATTTTATATATATATATTTCTTTTTTTACTAGGATTGATTGATAGTTGTTTAAAACAGTAATACAGGCTCCTTTCCATCTTAAAGGGTAGCACTAACTACTTTGATTCTTTCCTCTTGATTATTCTGGGAAGAGATTGTTGTTTCCTATATTAGTCTAATAAATGCCTCAGAAAAGTAAAAGGTACAATTACTCGTTCAGATCAATAGAATCATTTCATTTTCTAGTTTATGTAGAGCAGAAAATTGTTAATTATTGAGTACCATAAATGATAAGAACACAATGAGGCAGATGGAATTAATTTTATGAAAAATTCTGTTGAATTTTAATACTCAGTTAATGATTCGTGTGGTATGTGTATTTAATAAGGCTTGACAATAATTAAGGACTGAACTCTGACATAGAAAGAAAGCACTTGATTGACAGAGAGGAGACCTTGTCTTAGTTGTGGTTCTGCTGTTAACACAGTATGACTTTGGGTAGGTCATTAGGCCTCAGATATTCTCCTTTTGAAGTGGAGTTATTTTATTCCACATATCATAAGCACTTGCTATATGCCAAACACTGTGCTTTTAGGATTAAGAAAAACAGGAAATGATTGAGTGTAGTCTATAGGGGAAGGCAGCATGATCCTCAGTTACTGGAAACTTCCTACAACTCTGATTGTTCTGTATATTCTCAGTGTTTTTTGAGGATTTTTTTTTTTAACCTGTTCATTTGGTAAGTGTGGATTTGACAGTTGTTTTCTGTGTTTTTAACTGAGTAAATATGAGCAGGGACTGCTCCTTTTAACTTACTGATGTGAATTAGCCATACCTGAAATTGTACAGCTTTGAGGATTATGCCTTTTATCTGCTTCAGCCACATAAACAGAAGTTCAAAATTCTTTGCCTGTGGAGACCCGATAGCAAAGTTAGGTGTTTAATTTCTCAGTACAGTGATTAATGATAGAGTTACCTTGTTCTTAGGAATAAAAATTATAAAAAATTTTTTATATTAGTTTTCTGTGCTGTGTAACAAGTTACCACAAGTTTAGTGGCTTAAAACAATTACCTATTTATTATTTCACAGTTCCTATGGATCAAAAATCCAGGCATAGGCTGGACGTGGGGCCTCATGCCTGTAATCCCACCCCTTTGGGAGGCCAAGATGGGAGGATCGCTTGAGCCCAGGAGTTCAAGACCAGCCTGGCCAACGTGGTGAAACCCTGTCTCTACTAAAAATAAAAAAATTAGCCAGGCATGGTGGCACACACCTATAATCCCAGCTACTAAGGAAGGTGAGGCAGGAGAATTTCTTGAACTCAGGAGGTAGAGTTTGCAGTAAACTAAGATTGTGCCATTGAACTCCAGCCTGGGCAACACAGTGAGACTCTTGTCTCCAAAAAAATAAAAATAAGTAGTAGTAGTAGTAGTCCAGGCATGGCTTAGCTGGGTCCTCTGCTCATGGTATCACAAAACTGCAATCAAGGCGTCTGTGAGGGCCAGTCACAGATATCTGAGGCTCAAAGAGGCTGAGTCCTGTTCTAAGATCATGGATTTGTTGCAGAATATATTTCCTTGCAGTTGCAGAACTTGTGGAAGCTTGGTTCTTCCAGACCATAAAGAGAATCTCTCACCTTCTTTTAATGGCCTCAACTGATTAGATCAGATTCACACAGAATGATCTCCCTTTCTACTAATATAAAGTCAATTCATTAGGGACCTAAACTATATCCTCCAGATCTCATAATTTTTGTCATATTCCATTAGTTAGAAGCAAGTTGTAGGTACTACCCACCTTCAAAAGAAGATGCTGTAGCTTTAGTATTCCTTATGTAAAATGCTTGGAACCAGGAGTGTTTTGTATTTTGAGGTTTTTTTTGGATTTTTGGAATATTTGCATTATGCTAGTTGAGTCTTCCTAATTCAAAATTTGAAATGCTCCAATGAACATTTTATTTGAACATTACATCAATTTCAGATTTTGGATCATTTCAGAATTTGGATCATTTCAGATTTTAGGTTTTCAAATTAGTGATAATCAGCCTGCGTAAGGTGTGGATACCAGGGGACTTGAACCAGAGGAAGCAGCTTAGCATTCTGCCTACAATAGTGAGGTTTTAAAAAAATCATTTATTTTTAATTTTTGTTATTAAATATTGAATAGGCATAATAACTACATATATGTTATGTAAGGCATTAAAAAATACAACAAATATCCAAACACCCAGTTAGAAAATAGGACATTACCATTGCCTTTAAATTTCTTATATGCTTGTGAATAGCCACTACCCTTCAGCCTGGGCTACATAGCAAGACCCCGTCTCTTAAAAAAAAAAAAAAAAAAGGTAAAATTCTTATGTGGGCCTCCATGTTTGTATACTGTTTCCTTCCCACAAAGGTAACCAGTACTCTGAATCTTGTGTTTACTGTTTCATTGCCTTTCTTTATAATTTCTTTTTTTTTATTATTTTTTTTGAGTCTAGCTCTGTCACCAGGCTGGAGTGCAGTGGCACAATCTTGGCTCAGTGCAGCTCCACCTCCCAGATTCAAGTGATTCTCCTGCCTCACCCTCCTGAGTAGCTGGCGTTACAGGTGCTCTCCACCATGCCCGGCTAATTTTTATATTTTTAGTAGAGATGGGGTTTCACCATGTTTGCCATGGTCTCGAACACCTGACCTCAGGTGATCCACCTGCCTCAGGCTCCCAAGGTTCTAGGATTACAGGCATAAGCCACCACACCCAGGTCTTTCTTTATAATTTCAGCATGCTTTTTTGTAACTCTAAGCAAGGTTCTGTTTTATGTTGCTTGTCTTTGAATTTTATATAAAAAGGAATCATATTTTTCTTTGATTTGCTTTGATCATCTAAATTATGTTCTTAAGATTCATCCATTTTGTTGCAGGAAGCTGTAGGACAATTTCCCTGCAATATAGTCTTGCATCATAAGAATATACATCAATTTATTTTCCCATTCTAGTATTGATAAGCATTTTGATTTTTTCCAGTTTCTTGCTGTTACCAACATACTGCTCTGAACATTCTTGTACATATCTTTTGATGCACTTAATGCAAAGGTTTGTCTAGGACAGTGGTTCTCAACCAGGGATGGTTTTATCCTCCAGGGGATATTTGACAGTATCTGGAGCCTTTTTTGGTTCTCACCACTTGTCCAGTTGTTACTGGTATGTAGTGCAGAGGCAATGCACAGGAAAGCTCCCCTCAACAAAGAACTAGTTCAGAATGTCAGTAGTAGTTAGGTTGAAAACCCTTCTCTAGGGCAGTGAACCTCAGTCAGAGCTGTGTATCTGCCCCTTGCTCCAATTTAGAAGTGTGTGTGGATGTTTCTGTTTGTCACAGTGATGGGGAGTTGGGGGGCATTGCTACTGGCAGTAATGGTCAGCGGCTAAATACCTAATCTCCTGAAATGCTAGGAATATTCCTGTTCCTGTTTAGAGATATTGCTGTAAGATGTTACCTAAGAGTGGAATTGCACAGGTTATGTGCATCTTTAAATTGACTAGCTAATACCAGGTTTCCCCCAGTGGCTTTACAAGTTTACAGTTCTCCCAACAGTGTATAAGAGTTCCTGTTGCCCTACATTTTTCTCTTTGTCTGGTAGGTTCTAAAGCTTATGATTGGCTTTTCCCAGATTACTAATACAATTAGACATTTGTTTCATATGTTTGGCCATTTGTGTTTTATTTTATGTGAAGCTCCTGCTGAAGATTTTTGCTCATTTTCCTACTAGTTCGTGTGTCTTTTCTTACTGGTTTATAAGAGTACTTTATATGTTCTGAATACTAACCTTTTGTAGGTTGTATGAAATGCAGATATTATCTGATTTGTGGCTTTTTTTCCTGCTTTTTATATTCTGATGAATAGCAGTTTTTAATTTTAGTGTAATCTAAGATACTCATGTTTTTTTAAGTGGTGTGTATTTTATGTTGATTTCTCTACTCCATCCCCATTCCAGTTACTACCTTTGTCTTTCTCCCAAGAAGTAACCACTGTTTTCATTTCTAAAACTATGGCTTAGTTTTGCCTTGTTTTCCAACATTATTTAAAGCATGCAGTATTATTCGTTTGATTCTAGCTTTTTTTGCTCAGCACTGTCTATATATTATGATTCATTCATGCTTTTTGTTGTGTATGGCAATTGTTCATTTATTTTTATTGCTGCAGAGTATTCCATTGGGTGACTGTTGTACAATCTATTTACCATTTTATTGTTGAGGAATATTTGGGTTATTTCCAGTTTGAGTCTGTTAAGTCAGTTATGAACATTCTTATACATGACTTTTGATACAGATGTACCTTTCTTCCAGGTGGTAGTGCTTCATCATAGGATATACTTAGGTTCAGCTTTAGTAGGTAACTGCTAACCAGTTGCCCATGTTGGTTTCCAGTTTAAACTAACCAGTACTAAATGCAAATTGCCTTTTGTAGAGCTTTTCGAATATATGGCTTGTTGACTGATCCATTTTGGAATATTTGGCCATTATCTCTCTCCTTTTTTTTTTTTTTTTTTTTTGAGACAAGGGTCTCAATCTGTTGCCCAGGCTGGAGTACAGCAGCATGATCGTAGCTCACCGTAGCCTCAAACTCTTCCATTGCACCCAGCTAATTTTTTTTTTTACTTTTGGTAGAGATGGGGTCTTGGTTTATTGCCCAAGCTGGTCTTGAGCTCCTGGCCTCGAGCCAGTCTCCCAAAGTGCTGGGATTACAGTCTCCCAAAGTACAGGCGTGAATCACTGTACCTGGCCATTATTTCTTTAGATATTGCGTCTGTCCCTTTTTTTTTTTCATTTAGGACTCCAGTTGGACCTACGTTAATTCTTTTTACCAAGTTTCATATATCTCTTACATTCTCTTCTACATTTTCCGTCTTTTTATCTCTCTGTATTTTCCTCTAGATGTTTTCTCCTGACCTATCTTCTAGTCCATTAATTTTTTTCACTGTTTAATCTGCTGTTAAACCCATTTATTACATTCTTAATTTCATTTATTAATGCAAATAGTGGCAAAAATCATAATTACTTTTGCACTAACCTAATATATTTTTAGTCCCAGAATTTCCATTGGGTTATTTTATATTTTCCACTTTTCAACTAGGTTTCTCTATCTTGTCATTTAATTTTTTTAACATATTAATCATAGTTATTTTAAAGTTCATATCTGATATCTCTGGTATCTGGATTTATTGTTGTTTGTGTTTTTGACCTTTTTTTTTCCCGCCTTTGGCTTGGGGAGTTTTGTCATTTTTGCATGCTTGGTTATTTTATTTTATTTTTTTCTGAGATGGAGTCTTTTTCTGTTACCCAGGCTGGAGTGCAGTGGCACAATCTCAGTTCACTGCAGCCTCCACCTCCTGGGCTCAAGCAGTTCTCCTGCCTCAGCCTCCCAAGTAGCTGGGCTTATAGCTGTGCACCACCACACCTAGCTAATGTTTTTGTATTTTTGGTAGAGACCAGGTTTCACTGTGTTGGCCAGACTGGTCTCTAACTCTTGACCTCATGATCTGCCCACCTGGGCCTCCCAAAGTGCTGGGATTATAGGCGTGAGGCGCCACTCCTGGCCGCTTGGTTATTTTTTATTGAGTTTTGGACAGTGCGTTTAAAAATTGATAGGTATTACATTATCAGAACCTTAAATTATTTTTCTTTGCTTTTGACAGGCACTTAGGCTAAGGACAGATCACCTTAATTTAGCCAAGGATTGAACTGACTGAAAGCTAGGCTTCAGTCTTTGTGAGAGCCAGCATGCTTTTGGGTTCTCCTGATTCCTAGGGCATAGTTCTTTGAGGTTACAGCAGAAAGCTTGAAGTATTTTCCATAATCCTTTCTAGTTTTAGGGGACTGACTGCCGAAAGCTCTGCTCAGCTTTTCAGTTGCAGTTTTCAAATTAGTGCATGTCAGTGTTACCTTTTTGGGTTTCCCTTCTCTTCATGATTTTGGCTCCACAGTTCCATAGTACCTTAGTGGTTCTTCAGTGCTTTCACATAGATACTTTTAATACTTCGTTCTACTTTCCCAGTTGGTCTTAGCAGGAGGGCTGGTTTAATCTAGCTTACTCTAGCTTTAGGCTTGGCTTATTTTTTTAAAAACTGACGTTATGCTAAGTGAAATAAGCCAGTCACAGAACACATATACTATATGATTCGACTTATGTGATATCTAAAGTAGTCAAATTCATAAAAACAGAAAGTAGAATAGTGGTAGCCAGGGGCTTGAGGCAAAGGGAAAGGGGGAGTTTGTTGTTTAATGAGCATAAAGTTTCAGTTCTGCAAGATGAGAAAAGTTCTGGAGACTTCTTTCACAATAATACAATGAGCTTATCAGGTAGCTTTTTTCCAGCTATAGTGATTTCTTTAGCGAGTCTGCTTAGAAAACAATATATGTAATACGAATCAGAAATTCAGTGAAATACTAATATGCGTGTTTAACACAAATTTGACTGTACTGTATATGTTTAGCAAAAAAAAAAAAATAAAATAACTATTTGCATAGTGGAGACAATTCTGCCAGCCATTCTTCTCAGTGAGCTTGTATCCCAGAATGAGCATTAGAAAAGAATTCTGACTTTGTTGTTTCTTCATCTGGCTTTGTTGAAATAACTGGAAATAACTCATTCCTGAGGAATTTTCAGGGGTAATTTTGATTGTCACCTGATGTTAGAACCCAACCTCTGTTAAAGCTTTAGCCCCAGTGGAAAGAAAGGGAAATGAGATCCCTTTATTTTTCATTGGCATTATTCACACTTCTGTAGTCTAAATTTTACTTCTTAAACATCTCTCATTGTTATTGGATTATATTACCTTTTAAGTAAAAGTCTTTGAACTTTACTACAAATCTGTCTCTCTTTCTGTGTTCTTTTTGAACACATGTACTGTATGTAACAGTGCTTTCCTTCGGTATAGCATGGTCTGGGATGGCACAATCACTTTTAAGGTTATCATCAATAAATATTTCTTGTTAGAGATAAATCCAGAGTAGCAGCAGATCTTCACTACAACATCTTACTTCTCTTTCAAAGTAGAACAATATTGCCAGTATTTTTTGTCTGTTAAGATGGTTAGCAGTATTTATATAACAGTATCATGTAAACCTGCTTGTACCCCTGCCCCTTTTGAAGTTGCTGAGAAACATAAATTTAAAACAGCAAATAGCAGCGTAAGAGGCAGAGGCGGCGGGGGATTTATCTTCCTATGACAGCAAATCAGATCTCATCTAAGAAATTAAAAACAATTGAAGTAGTCGCTTTAATATCCTGATCTGTGCTATTCATGATTACAACAAAATATTCTGAACATGGAAAACCACAGAATTAAATATATTAAGTATAGTTATTACCTCTACCTTACATAAAATGTTTCATCAAGGGCCTTTGCAGTTTGAGAATAATACTATAGCAAGCATACATTCTTTAAAAGGATGTGGTGAGTGGTTTACTAAATTTGTGGAGTAAAATGTGAATGCTACCAAATAATAAAACAGATCATTTGACATTTAATAGTAAAGACAGCTATACTAAGGTCAATATGAGGTAAAATTGGCCATATAGATAATATTTGTAACTGACTTCTAGAATCCCAAAACCATATCTGGCTCTTTTGCTAAAAGACTAATGTGAGATAGTATTTAAGAAACAGCCTCAGCATGTTTTAAATGGGTCACGTCATAGAGAAAGATTTTCACTATGCCTTCGTTTATTGTTAAATTAGTACATTTTTAGTGTGTGCCTTTTGTTAAAAACACAGTGCTAGGATCTCCACTAGGACAGTTGCTAAACAGTTGAAGGTTTTCTTAGTTCTCTGCCCACCCTGGCTTGCCTTACCATTTTTTTACCTTTTCTACCTAGCTAATGCTACCCAAGACTTACCCCTGACACCTCTCCATCCTCATCGAAATTTAAATTTGTGTGTTAGAACCTCTTCTTCCTTGGTGGCCTCTCTGTGCTTTCTGAAGTGTCTAGTCAGAAATTTTTTTTTCTTTTTGAGATGGAGTTTCACTCTGTTGCCCAGGCTGGAGTGCACTGGCACAATCTCGATTCACTGCAACTTCCGCATTCCGGGTTCAAGTGATTCTCCTGCCTCAGCCTCCTGAGTAGCTGGGAGTACAGGTGTGCACCGCCAGGCCCAGCTAATTTTTGTATTTTTAGTAGAGACAGCATTTCACCATGTTGGTCAGGCTGGTCTCGAACTCCTGACCTCATGATCCGCCCACCTCGGCCTCCCAAAGTGACAGGATACAGGCGTGAGCCACCGCACCTGGCCCAGAAATTATTTTTAAAATTAATCTGGGCTACAGGAGTTTGAGGCCAGCCTGGGCAACATAGTCAGACCCCATCTCTACAAAAAAATTATCTGGGCATGGTGGTGCGCACCCTTAGTCCCAGCTACTCAGGAAACTCAGGTAGGAGGATCATTTCAGCCCAGGAAGTTGAGACTGCAGTGAGATATGATTGCGCCACTGCACTCCAGCTTGGGTGACAGAACGATACCCTGTCTCAAAAAAAAAAAAAAAAAAAAAGAAATTTGGGCTAGCAGTAGAAGAGGGTAACTTTGAGGCAGTGTTCCTTTTTTTAAAACAGCGACTGTCTAGAAACATATTTTTCCTGCCCTTATCTTTCTTTCTCTTTCTGCCCCCAACTTTTCAAGGTTCCAGTGATGGGAATTTCAGATTGGAAAGGTAGCAAATAGGGGATTTTGGGGGATGGTAATGTCCTTGAAGCATTCTTCATGTGATTATCTTCTTGATGATGTTCTTGACAACCCACATATTGTGAATGTAGGAAGTAAGGAACCTATGACTAGTGATAGTACATACAGTTTTTCAGAGCTGGTGTTTAATAACAATGTTTTTCATTCTAATATTACATTATTCTTTTTATCATTTAGGTCTTTATCCATCAGTGTTGTTAGAGAACTACTGTACTTGACCACAAACTTATAAATACTTGGTACTGCCACATCTCACTGTTATGTTTACTTTGTCTTAAATATCTCTCTTTTTTTTTTTTTCAGGCAGCTAGCACACCACTGAATCCTTTAAGTTTTCAATGTGAATTTGTAAAACTCAGGATTGACCTTCTACAAGCCTTCTCTCAACTTATCTGTACTTGTAATAGCCTAAAAACAAGCCCCCCACCTGCAATTGCCACAACAATTGCCATGACCCTAGGAAATGACCTTCAGAGGTGTGGTCGAATCTCCAATCAGGCAGGTCTTAACTTTCAGTGCACTTTTTATTTACACTTTAGAGGTTTTTGAAGTTAGTTATAAGATAAAAAGTTGTGAAATTTAAAATCAGTGGTTTAACTCAGACATTATCATAAATGTTTATTAACTCAGCTGTCTGGCCAAATAGACTGATGTGTTATTAGAATAATAAAGTAATTAATGGTATCTATGAGTGCTAGATATTTATATAAAGAGAAAGGACATAGAATTTTTTAAAAGACTTCAGAATGTTTATAACTAAATTATTTTAGTGGAACTTGAATCTAAAATACAAATTTTTTTTGTTTCTATATGTCATATGTAATAATCTTGTGAACATGTATAGTTTCATTTGCCATTTTTGTTTTTATTTAATGAAGTTTATAAAAATGAATGGAATGACAATGAAAATATTGGAGTATTTTTTTGAATTGTTATTGTTTGAAGGTGCTTTTTTTATGTTTTGATTTTTGTGTTGTTTATATAATAATGATAGCATGTTTGTTTGTCATAACTGATACATTTTTTAATAGATGAAACAGTCCATGGAAGAATTTCGGAGCCTTGCTTCTCGATATGGGGATCTTTACCAGGCCTCTTTTGATGCTGACTCAGCAACTTTGAGGAACGTCGAACTATATCCCAAGCTTGACCCAGTATTCCTTGTTTTTTTTTTTTTTTTTTTTTTTTTTTGAAGTTTTCTTTTAAATATAGACTACGTCAGCTGTGCTTACCTACAAAATACATATTAGATAAGCCTACAAATTTATTATATAGTTTCCCCTTTGAAATCTTTGAGCAGAATTATCTTACTTTTTAACTTTACCCAGGATTTTAACAAAAAATGGTAACTCAAAGGTGTCTTTTTTTTATATTCAGGAAGTGCATCCAAAGCAACATGCAAAGCCAGTGTTGCTTATCTGTGCTCACTTGAGCTATAACAGACAACTAAACACATTTTCCTACCAAAAAACATGTTTCATCTCCTTTATTAATGATCTCCTCAGTAGCATTAGTTGTCACTTTTTTTTTTTTTTTTTTTGAGTTGCAGTCTCACTCTGTTGCCTAAGGTGGAGTGCAGTAGCATGATCTTGGCTCACTGCAAACTCAGCCTCCTGGGTTCAACTGATTCTCCTGCCCCAGCCTCCCTAGTAGCTGGATTACAGGCACATGCCACCATAACCTGGCTTTTTGTATTTTTAGTAGAGACAGGGTTTCACCATGTTGGCTGGACTGGTCTCAAACTCCTGGCCTCAAGTGATTAGCCTGCCTCAGCCTACAAAGTGCTGGGATTATAGGAGTGAGCCACTGCACCCAGCCTATTTGTCACTTTTAAATCCTTCCTAAGTTCTCTGTATTTTCTTATTAGTAACTTCAAATTACTTTTGAAAGGAAGGAATTGAAATTCTTTTTTTAAGTTGTAGGACTTAACCAGTCAGTAGTTCTTGGCATTTAGTTTACTGATTAAAACCCAGTGAATGCTATGGGCCCTCTGCCCTACAAAATGTGTATGTGCACACACAACCAAAATGTGCATATAAGTTCAAGGGAGTTGTCAGACCCCTTGAGCTCTAGATTAGGAACTTCTGGGATAAAGACTCCTTAGACCACTCTGTTTTTGTTTTTGTTTTTTAACTTTTATTGGTGAAACCTTTATTTGTTTGTCTCAAACTCTTATGAAAAACCCCTGTATCTAAAATCAGAGTTGCTGTGATTGAATCACAGGGCCTGTCACTTAGTTTCCCCTTCCCACAGTAGTAGCCTCTGAAGTACCCTTCTTGGAACAGAGTTTGAGAATCACTGTTAGAGACAATGTATATCCCTTACACATTGATATAAAAGTTACAGCCCCAGACCATTCAAGTTGCTAACATTATGATTACCTTCACTAGGCAATCGTTAAATCTTAACCCGTTTAATATCCAGATAATAGAAACCTATAGGGGGTTTCTTCTCTGTTTTTGTGTATAACCTTAACATCAATCCAGACAGCAGCAGAGCTGTTTACTGATATCTCATGCAATAGAAGCCCTGATTTTGGATCCAGAATCAGCAAGGTAATTCTAATATTAATAATAGTTGAGAACACTTTCTGTACATTGTCTTACGTAATCATCAGAAGAGTATTTTGGGACAAGAATTATGGTAGTAAAAACAAAGAGGAAGAATTCTTCCAGCATTTTCTCTGGGTCATATAACTAGTGACAAGACAGATTTTCTGACTCTACTTACCTCCTGCCTGTTTTCAAAAAAATTAATGTGAAAAGATAACTGGGAAGAAATTCTTTTTTTTTTTTTTTTTTTGAGGCAGAGTCTCACTCTGTCACCCCGGCTAGAGTGCAGTAGCTTGATCTCAGCTCATTACAGCCTCCGCCTCCCTGGTTCAAGTGATTCTCCTGCCTCAGCTTCCTAAGTAGCTGGGACTAAGGCATGTGCCACCACACCTGGCTAATTTTTTATTTTAGTAGAGATGGGGTTTCACCATGTTGGCCAGGCTGGTCTCGAACTCCGACCTCAGGTGATCCACCTGCCTTGGTCTCTCAAAGTGAGAAATTCTTTAAATATGAATAATTTCTTCTTGTATATTATAATTAAACTTTATTAAAAATTGAGTTGGTGATACAATTAAACTCGAACTCGAGATTTTTTTCCTTTGGTTTATTTCCTAAACCAAAATATCCCTGGTTTTGCTTTTTTAAATTTTTTCTCCTCTCCCCTAATAACCAATTAATTATTCAAAATAAAAATTTTTTTTTTTTTTTTTTGAGGCAGAGTCTTGCTCCGTCGCCAGGTGCCAGGCTGGAGTACAGTGGCTTAATCTCGGCTCACTACAACCTCTGCCTCCTGGGTTCAAGCAATTCTCCTGCCTCAGCCTCCTGAGTAGCTGGGACTGCAGGCGTGCGCCACCACGCCCAGCTAATTTTTGTATTTTTAGTAGAGACGGGGTTTCACCATGTTGGCCAGGATGGTCTCGATCTCTTGACCTCGTGATCTGCCCACCTTGGCCTCCCGAAATGCTGTGATTACAGGCGTGAGCCACCGCGCCCAGCTGATTATTTTCAGTAAAGAATGAGTCCTTGTTCTTCCTATTACAGTATTCTATTTTAGAATATTCATTTTCTTTCTTTTTTAAGTTCAAGGTTACTTGTGCAGCTTTGTTATATAGGTAAAACTCTTGTCACTGGGGTTTGTTGCACAAATGATTTCATTGCCCAGATTTTAAGCCTAGTACCCAATAGTTAATTTTCCTTGTCCTCTTTTTCCTTCCACCTTCCACCCTCAGGTAGGCCCCACTGTGTGGTGTTCCCCTCTATGTTTCCATATGTTCTCATCATTTATCTCCCACTGCTAAGGGAGAACATGTGGTATTTGTTTTTCTGTTCCTGCGTTAGTTTGCTGTGGATAATGGCCTCCAGCTCCATTCATCTTCCTGTCAAGGACATGATCTTGTTCTTTTTTATGGCTGGATAGTATTTCATGGTGCATATGTACCACATTTTCATTATCTGGTCTGCCATTGATGGACATTTAGGTTAATTTCATGTCTGTGCTATTGTGAATAGTGCTGCAGTGAACATATGTGTGCATGTGTCTTTATGATAGAATGATTTCTATTCCTTTTGGTATATACACAGTTACAGGATTGCTGAGTTGAATGGTGGTTCTGTTTTTAGCTTTTTGAGGAATCAGCACAGTGCTTTCCACAGTAGTTGAACTAATTTACACTTCTACCAACAGTGTATAAGGGTTCCTTTTTCTCTGCAGCCTCACCAGCATCTGTTATATTTTGATGATTTAGTAATAGCCATTCTGACTGGTGTGAGATGATAATCTCATTATGGTTTTGATTTACATTTCTCTAATGATCAGTGATGTTGAGCTTTGTTTTCATATGCTTGTTGGCCATGTGTATGTCTTCTTTTGAAAAGTGTTTATGTCCTTTGCCCACTTTTTTAATGGGCTTGTTTTTTTCTTGTAAATAATGTAAGTTCCTTATAGATGCTTGCTATTAGACGTTTGTCAGATGCATAGTTAGCAAAAATTTTCCCCCATTCTGTAGGTTGTTTGTTTAATCTGTGGATAGTTTCTTTTGTTATACGGAAGCTCTTTAGTTTTATTAGATCCCATTTGTCAGTTTTTGCTTTGTTGCAATTGCTTTTGTCATCTTTGTCATGAAATCTTTGCCCATGCCTATGTCCTGAATGATACTGCCACGGTTGTCTTCCAGGGTTCTATCATTTTGCGTTTTACATTTAAATCTTTAATCCATCTTGAGTTGGTTTTTGTCTGTGGTGTAAGGAAGGGGTCCAGTTTCCGTCTTCTGCATATGACATCCAGTTATCCCAGCACCATTTATTGAATAGGAAGTCCTTTCCCCATTGCTTGTTTTTGTCAGCTTTGTCAAAAATCAGATGGTTGTAGGTGTGTGTGGCCTTGTTTCTGGGCTCTCTGTTCTGTTCCACTGGTCTGTGTGTATGTTTCTATACCAGTACCATAAAGTTACTGTAGCCCCGTAGTATGGTTTGAAGTTGGTAGCCTGATGCCTCCAGCTTTGCTCTTTATGCTTAGGTTGTCTAGGCTCTTTCTGGTTCTGTATGAATTTTAAAATAGTTTCTTTTGCTTCCATGAAGAATGTCATTGGCAGATTGATGGGAATAACATTGAATCTATACACTGCTTTGGGCATTATGGCCATTTTAACAATATTGATTTCTCCTATTCATGAGCGTGGAATCTTTTTCCATTTGTTTGTGTCACCTCTGATTTCATTGAGCAGTAGTTTGTAGTTTTCCTTAGATCTTTCACCTCCCTGGTTAGCTGTATACCTAGGTATTTTATTCTTTTTGTGACAGTTGTGAATGGGAATGCATTTCTGATTTGGCTTTCAGCTTGACTGTTGTTGGTGTATAGGAATACTAGTGATTTTTTTATGCAGATTTTGTATCCTGGATCTTTGCTGAAGTTGTTTATCAGCTTAAGGAGCTTGTGGGCCAAGACTGTGGGGTTTTCTAGATATTGTATTATGCTGTCTGCAAACAGGGATAGTTGGACTTCCTCTCTTCTTATTTGGATGCCCTTTCTTTCTTTCTCTCACCTGATTGCTCTGACTTGATTGCAACTTCCAATACTATGTTGAATAGGAGTGGTAAGAGAGGGCATCCTTGTCTTACGCAAGTTTTCAGGCGGCATGCTTCTAGCTTTTGCCCATTCAGTATGATGTTGGCTGTGGGTTTGTCCTAGGTGACTCTTACTATTTTGAGATATGTTTTTTCACCTTCTAGTTTAGTCACAGTTTTTTTTTAATATGATGGGATATGGAATTTTATCAAAAGCCTTTTCTTCATTGATTAAGATGATCATATGGTTTTTGTCTTTAGTACCATTTATGTGATGAATCACATTTATTGATTTGCATGTGTTGAACCAACCTTGCAACCCGGGGATAAAGCCTACTTGATTGTGGTGGATAAGTTTCTGATTTCCTGCTGGATTCAGTTTGCCAGTATTTTTTGAGGATTTTTGCATCAATGTTCATCAACAATATTGGTCTGAGGTTTTTGCTATTATTGTTGTTGTGTCTCCATCAGGTTTGGTATCAGGATGATGCTGGCCTCAGAATGAGTTAGGAAGGAGTCCCTCTTCTTCAGTTTTTTGGAATAGCTTCAGTAGGAATGGAGCCAGCTCTTCTATGTATACCTGATAGAGTTTGGCTGTGAATCCATTTGGTCTTGGCTTTTTTGTTGTTGTTGTTGTTAGTAGGCTGTTTATTACTGATTCAATTTCAGAGCACATTATTGGTCTGGTCAGGGATTCAATTTCTTCCTGGTTCAGTCTTGGGAGAGTGTATATGTCCAGGAATTTATCCATTCCAGCTAGATGTTCTAGTTTGTGTCCATAGAGGTATTCATATTTCTGTGGTGTCAGTGATAATATCTTCTTTGTTGTTTCTAATTGTGTTTACTTGGATCTTCTCTCTTCTTTATTAGTCTAGCTGGCTGTCTATTAAATAGATAACTAATTTTTTTTTTTTCAAAACACCAACTCCTGGATTTATTGATCTTTCGAATGGTTTTTTGTGTGTCTCAGTCTCCAGTTCAGGTCTGATTTTGGTTATTTCTTGTCTTCTGCTAGCTTTAGAGTTGATTTGCTCTTCATTCTCTAGTTCTTTTAGTTGTGATGTACTTTGTAAATTGAGGTCTTTCTAACTTTTTGATGTGGGTGTTTAGTGCTGTAAATTTCCCTCTTAACACTAGCTATGTCCCAGAGAGTCTGGTATGTTGTCTCTTTGTTCTCATTAGTTTCAAAGAACTTCTTGATTTTTGCCTTAATTTCATTATTTGCTGAAAAGTCATTCAGGAGCAGGTTATTTAATTTCCATGTAATTGTATGGTTTTGAGTGATTTTCTTGGTCTTGATTTCTAATTTTATTGCACTGTGGTCCAAGAAAGTAGTTATTATTTTAGTTCTTTTGCATTTGCTGAAGATTGTTTTGTGTCCAATTGTGTGGTTGATTTTAGAGTATATGCCATGAGGTGATGAGAAGAATGTATATTCTGTTGTTTTTAGGTGGAGAGTTCTGTAGATGTCTATCAGGTCCATTTGGTTCAGTGCTGAGATTAGGTCCTGAATATCTTTGTTAATTTTCTGCCTCAATGATCTAACACTGTCATGGGGTGTTGCATTCTCCCACTGTTATTGTGTGGGAGTCTAAGTTTCTTTGAAGGTCTCTGAGCTCTTGCTTGGTGAATCTGGGTGCTCCTGTGTTAGGTGCATATATATTTAGGATAGTTAGGTCTTCTTATTGAATTGAACCATTTACCATTATATAATGCCCTTGTCTTTTCTTTCTTTCTTTTTTTTTTTTTTTTTTTTTTATTTTTTTTTGCTTTAAATCTGTTTTTTCTGATTTAGGATTGCAACCCCTCTTTTTTTCTGTTTTTCATTTGCTTGGTAGGTTTTTCTCTACCCCTTTATTTTGAGCCTATGGATGTAATTGCATGTGAGATGAGTCTGTTGGCATACCATCGAATCTTGGTTCTTTATCCACCTTGTCAATCTGTGCCTTGTAATCGGGACATTTAGCCAATTTACATTAAAGGTTAGTATTGATGTGTGGATTTGATCCTGTCATTATGATAGCAGCTGGTTATCATGCAGGCTTCTTTGTGTGGTTGCTTTTTTTTTTTTTTTTTTTTTTTTGAGACGGAGTTTCACTCTTGTTACCCAGGCTGGAGTGCAATGGCGCGATCTCGGCTCACCGCAACCTCCGCCTCCTGGGTTCAGGCAATTCTCCTGCCCCAGCCTCCTGAGTCGCTGGGATTACAGGCACACACCACCATGCCCAGCTAATGTTTTGTATTTTTAGTAGAGACGGGGTTTCACCATGTTGACCAGGATGGTCTCGATCTCTTGACCTCGTGATCCACCCGCCTCGGCCTCCCAAAGTGCTGGGATTACAGGCTTGAGCCACCGCGCCCGGCTGTGTGGTTGCTTTATGGTGTCTCACTGGTCTGCGTACTTAAGTATGTTTTTGTAGTGGCTGGTAATGGTCTTTCCATACTTAGTGTTTCCTTCAGGAGCTCTTGTAAGGCAGGTCTGGTGGTAACAGATTTCCTCAGCATTTGCTTGTCTGAAAAAGATCTTATTTTTCCTTCACTTATGAAGCTTAGTTTGGCCGGATAGGAATTTCTTTTCTTTAAGAATGTTGAGGCCGGACAAGGTGGCTCACACCTGTACTCCCAGCACTTTGGGAAGCCAATGTGGGTGGATCACTTGAGGTCAAGAGTTCAAAACCAGCCTGGCCAACGTGGTGAAACCCCGTCTCTACTAAAAATATTTAAAAGATTAGCCTGGCGTGGTGGCACGTTTCTGTAATCACAGCCACTTGGGAGGCTGAGGCAGGAGAATCTCTTGAACCCGGGGGGCGGAAGTTGCGGTGAGCCGAGATCGTGCCATCACACTCCAGCCTGGGTGACAGAACAAGACTCTGTCTCAAAAAAAAAAAAAGAGTTGAGTATTGGCCACAATATCTTTTGGCTTATAGAGTTTCTGCTTAAAGGCCTGCTGTTAAGTATGATGCACTTCCCCTTTGTAGGTGGCCTGATCTTTCTAGCTGCCTTTTTTTTTTTTCATTTCGACCTTGGCGAATCTGATGATTCTATGTCTTGAGGATGATCTTGTGAAGTATCTTATTGGGTTTCTCTGCAGTTCCTAAATTTGAATGTTGGTCTCTTTTTCTAGGTTGGGGAAGTTCTCGTGGATGATATCTTAAAATATGTCTTCCAAGTTGCTTCCATTCTCCCCATCTCTTTCAGGGACACCAGTGAGTTGCAGATTTGGTTTCTTTACATAATCCCCTATTTCTCGGGGGTTTTGTTTATTGCTTTTTATTCTTTCTTCTCTATTCTTTTCTTCTTTTTTCTGAGACAGAATCTCACTGCTGCCCAGGCTGGAGTGCAGTGGCACAATCTCAGTTCACTGCAATCTCTGCCTCCCAGGTTCAAACGATTCTCCTCCCTCTGCCTTCCGAGTAGGTAGGATTACAGGGATGCGCCACCACACCTGGCTAAGTTTTTTTTAGTATTTTTAGTAGAGATGGGATTTCACCATGTTGGCCAGGCTTGTCTCAAACTCCTAATCTCAAGCGATCCACCCATCTCAGCCTCCCAAGGTGTTTTTTCTCTATTCTTGTCTTACTCAGAAAGCCTGTCTTCAAGCTCTGTGATTCTTTCCATAGAGTCTACTTTGCTATTAATTCTAAGGATTGCAGTGTGAAATTTTTGCAGTATGTTTTTCTACTCTATCAAGTTGGTTACACTCTTTTTTATACTGGCTGTTTTTGTCTGTCAGCTCCTGTATCATTTTATTGTGCTTCTTAACTTCCTTGGATTGGGTTTCAGTGTATTCCTGCTTCTCGATGATCTTCATTCCTATCCATATTCTGATTTCTATTTCTGTCATTTCAGCCATTTCAGCTCAGTTCAGAACCCTTACTGGAGAGTTAGTGTAGTCATTCAGCAGAAAGCAGGCATTCTGGCGTTTTGAGTTGTCAAAGTTGTTGCGCTGGTTCTTTCTCGTCTTTGTGGGCTGATGATCTTCATCCTTTGAAGTTGCTGTTCTCTGCATGTTTTTTTTTTCTTTTCTCCTGTGCGATGACCCTGAGGGTTTGATTGTCATATAAGGTAGATTTAATCAACTGGCTTCATTTCTGGAAGATTTTGGGGAGCCAAGGCTTAGCTCATAACTCCTGGACTGCCTGCTCCTGGGAGCTGGTATCAGCCCTGACTTTGTTCTCTGGCTCTTGAGGTTAGAAACTGACTGCACTGGGTAAGGGGCCAAGGTGCTCCAGGGCCACTGGCTACGACACTGCAATGGGTAGTGCCAGTCAAAGTGTTTTATAGGGTGATGGCAGCAGGATCCATCCTCAGTTTCACATGCCAGCAGCAGCAGCATAGCAGGATGCACACTTGCCCACTGTAACAGGATGCTAGCCAGTCTGGGATGCCAGCCTTTGGGACTTCATAGCAGCAGCAGAGGCAGCACAGCCGCCTGGGGGAGGGATATAGGGGAGCCCTGCTGGTGACTGTGCGTGCCATGGCACTGGTGGGTAGTGTAAGCATAGGGACTTGGCGCTGGCGGATACAGGACTGTGTGTGCCCTCTTAGCAGGTGGAGATGGTTGCTTAGGACAGGGGAAGGTCCACTGTTCTTCATGCCTAGTATCACTCCCAGGGCATTGTTGGCACAGGAGCTCTCCATGCCAACTCATAGTGGTTGAGCAGTCTCTTCCTGCTGGAATTCCAGAGGCCTGTGGCAGTAGCTGGTTGTTTTTTGCCAGTTCAACTCACTGTTCCCCCGTGTAATATCCCCATGCAGGGGTCCCAGCCTCCTCCTCTTTAGCCCAGCTTCTGTGCTTTTCCTCTTTCCACTCTTAGTGCCTTCCCTCTAAAGATCTGTTAGGAGAGCACCAATTGTCCGTCCCTTGGTGGCAGCTGTTCCACCTGACTGTGTCTAGTCAGCCATCTTGCCCAGCTCTTGCATTTACACTGTCTATAATTTCAATCTACTAAGGCCTGAGATTCCAATGTTAGTTCCCTCAAAGAGAATATAATCAACAAAGCAGTTTAAATTTCTCTACCCAGATTGGAACAGAGGAAAAAAAAGGCTGAGAAAATGAAGAGTCAAAGTTGGCCTGTGGGATAATGTCATTTAGACTTACGCATGTAACTGGAATCCTAGAAAGGGAAAGGGGGAACAGAAACATTTAAATGGCTACAAGTCTTTTGTATTTAATTAACATGTAAACCCACGGAGTCAAGAAGTTTAATGAATCTCTAGCAGGGAAAACATAAACCCAGAGCAAGGTACACATAATAATCAAATTGCTGGAAACCAATGATAAAAAGAAAAATTTTATTAAGAGAAAGAAGACATTATTTAGAAGGAAAGAAAGATCAGAATGTCTATTGATTTCTCATCAGAAATACTGCAAGCCAAAAGACAATTGGAACAACATTCAAAGTCCTGGAAGAAAAAAAAAATGTTAACTTATTCGATATTTAGGAAAAATATTCTTCAATAAATTAAGGTTAAATAAAGACATTTTCAGACAAAATCTGATAAATTTTGCCATCAACAGATCTGTACTACAAGACATGATAAAAGAAGTTCTTTAGGCTGAAGGAAAATTATTTCAGATATAAACTCAGACCTACAAAACTGAATAAGGAGCATTATAAATGGTATATGTTTTATTTTTAATTTTTAAAAAATAATTGGCCATTTATAGAAAAATGATGTTTAGGAGTTTATAACATATAGAAGTAAAATATATGAAATAAGACAAGGGGAGGATATAGTAGTAAGAATCTTACATTTATTAGTATATCATTTGACAGTAACTTTTGATAAACTGAGGGTATTTTAAACTCTAGAGCAGCCACCAAGAAATAAAACAAGGCAGTAGAGGCATAAAGTGGATTACTGAAATACTCAGTTAACCCAGAAGAGGCCAGAGAAAGCGGAAAACAGGAACAGAGAATAGATAGAAAAAGTAGAAAACAGAAGATGGTACACCTAAACCCACTCATACCAGTAATTACAATAAATGTGTATGGTCTTACTCTAAATAAAGCCAGAGATAGGCTGGATTTAAAAATAAAAATGCAACTATATGTTTACTACAGGAAATCCACTTTGAATATGAAGACGTAGGTTAAAAGTAAATAAAAGGATGGAAAAGGATATAACATGCAAACCCTCCTAAGAAAGCTGTAGTGGCCATATGAATATTATACAAAGTAGACTTCAAGATAAGGGCTGTTGGTAGTGAGAAAGAGGTATACTTCATCATGATGAAAGATCAGTTCATCCAGAAGATATAATCTTCAGTATTACGGGCCTACTAACAGGTCTTCCAAATATATAAAGCAAAAACTGACAGAGTTGAAGGAGAAATGCACAAATCCACAGTTGCAGTTGGAGATTTCACCACTTCCTTCTGGTTGACAGTAACTTGAACAAGACTATCAACCAACTTTACCTAGTTGACATTTATATATCATCTGCAGCAGCACACATCTTTTCAAGTGCATTTGGAACATTTACCAAGATAAACCATATGTTGGGCCATAAAACAAGTTTTAATAAATGCAAAAGCATTGAAATCAAATATGTTATCTGACATAAATTAGAAAAGAAGAAAGATTTCTGAAAAATTTCCAAGTATTTAGAAATTAACATTTCTAAATCCAGTTGGCCAAGAAATTACAAAGGAAATTAGAAAACATGTTAAACTGAATGAAAATGAGAACATACCACAAAACTTGCGGGATGCAGCTAATTTGTGGGATAAGTAGAACTTAAAGAGAAATTTATAGATTTAAATGCTTAAATATATAAAAGAAAGTTTAAGATCAGTAATCACAGTTTCTACTTTATGAAGTTAGGAAAAGAAAGCAAATTAAACCCAAAGTAATTAAAAGGATGCAAATAATAAAGACTGCTATCAGTGAATTTGAAACAAACAACTAGATACCTATATTGGGGCAAAAAAATGTAACCTTACCTCACAGTATACACAAAAGTTAATTCCAAATGAATCATAGACCAAAATATAAAACTCCAAATTTTCTAGAAGATGACATTGGAAAACCTCTTCATGATCTTGAGGTTGGCTATGATTTTGATTTCATAGGACACAAATAGCAGTTACCATAAGAGAAAAATTTTCTGAATTGGATTTAAACTTTTAAATCTGCTTTTGTTAAGATGTCATTTAAAAAGTGAAAAAGGTTACAAGCAGCAAGAACATATTCTCAAAACATTCTATCAAAAGACTTTTATTCAAACATTGTTTTATTAAGAACACCATACAACTCGACAATCCAATTTTTTTTTTTTGAGACACAGTCTCGATCTGTCACCCTGACTGGAGTGCAGTGGTGCGATCTTGGCTCACTGCAACCTTCACCTCCTGGGTTCAGGCAATTCTCCTGCCTCAGTCTCCCAAGTAGCTGGGATTACAGATGTGCATCACCATGCCCAGCTACTTTTTGTATTTTTAGTAGTAGAGATGGGGTTTCTCGTTAGCCAGGCTGGTCTCGAACTCCCGACCTCAGGTGATCCACCCACCTCGACTTCCTGAAGTGCTGGGATTACAGATGTGAGCCACCACGCCTGGCCGACAATCCAATTTTTAAAAATTGGTAAGAGTTTTAGACACTTCAGAAAAGAAGATATATTAATATACAGTAGGCATGTGAAAAGATGCTTAACATCAGTCATTAGAGAAATGAAAATCACAATGAGATACTACTCACACTAGAACAGCTAAGACCAAAAAGACCTTCAGTATGCAATGTTAGTGAAGATGTGGAGGAGCTTGAATTCATAGTAATATATTGTTGGGAATACAAAATCATACAGGCACTTTGGAAAACTGTTTGACAGTGTCATATATTATGTTAAACATACATTTATCATATGACCACAAATTCTACTGCTATTTTACCCAAGAGAAATGAAAACATATACATATACACAAATGTTCATAGCAGCTTTATTCATAATAACAAAACTGGAAAAACCCAAGTGTCTCTCAGTAGGCTAATGGATAAACAAATTGTAGTATATCCACAATTAGAATGCTGAGTATGCTCAGTAATAAAGATGAATGACCTGTTGATCATTCAGTAGGTCATATGGAAACCATGAGTGCCCTCAAAAACATGCTGTGAAAGCAGCCAGTAGAGAAAATCAGTGAAACCAGAAGCTGGTTCTTTGAAAAGATTAATAAAATTGATAAAACTAACTAGTGTGTGCAAGAAAAATAAATAAATCACTAATATTAGAAATAAAATGGTGGCATCAATACAAATCTTAAAGATATTAAAAGCATAATAAGGGAAGAATAACTTTGTGCCAAGAAATTTCCTGAGATGAATAGGACAAATTTAAATATTCTTTATTAGCACAGACAAAAAAATTTTTAACAAAACATGAACAAATTCAGTCCAACAATATATATGAATATACTACATTAAGACTAACTAGGGTTTATCCCAGGAATGCAAGGTTGGGTTAACATGAGAACATCAATTCATGTGCTTTACCATATTGCAAAATAAATGAGAAAAACTAAAGTGGGAAGACTTAATTACTGATTTCAAGACTTAGTTTAAACCTATAGTAATTAAGACAATGTGATGATGGCTTAAGGGTAGAGTGGAGTGTCCGGAAATCGGTATGTAGTGACTTGATTTTTGTCAAAGATGCCAAGATAATTAAATGGGAAAAGAATAGTCTTTTCAACAGATTGTGCTAGAACAACTAAATATATAAAAGTGAAAAAATAAATCTTCCTTACTACATACCATACACAAAAGAGTATGTATTGTATGGTTCTATTTATATGAACTATTAGGAAACAAATCTCATTTGCAAAGATAAAAAGCAAATCTGTGGTTGCCTACACCTAAAATTGTTTTGTTAGCAAGTCTTTTATGTAATTTAGTTGTCCTTAAAGTCCATCACAAAAATGAACTTTAGTTCTTGTCTTAATGGAACTTAAAATATAGTACAGAGCAGGAAACTTGGAGCCTGGCAGATACAAACATGAATCCCTCACCAGTCACTCCTAGCTCTGTGAATGTATGTATCATCTCAGTGAGCCACGTATGCATAAACTATAGGTAGATGATGCCTGTTTCCCAGAGTAGTTGTGAAGATTAAATGAACTAATATATATAAAATACCTGGTTGAAATGTCTTATGCATAGTAGGCATTAAAATGATAGTAGGGAATAATAAGAGTAGTGTTATGCCCAGCATATTTGCTTACATTGTATTTTCAAAAGTTTAGTTAGAAGTGCCTTTTTTCACTTAGAAATATTTTCAGAAATGTGCAGGGGTTTGAAGCAGTTAAGGAAAAATGAAGAAACTGAAGTTAAACTTATCCCAACTTGCTGTGTATACAAACTGTCTCCTGAACATGCCTGTGTGTTTCATCTCCATGCTTTAGATTCATTCCGTTTCCGTAGCCATGAATGTTCTGTACTTTCCCTCTCTTCACAGTTTACCTGTCTTACTTGCCTACTTGTATGTTCAAGACCATTTTCTTCTGTGACATTCCTCCATGTTCTGACCTGTTAATTTATGTATCTAACCTGTTAGTATATATCTTTATTGATAATTTGGTACTTACCTGCTGGCTTTATTGATAGTCCCCTTTTCAAATGTCTTATGTCTCTTTCATCTATGGCAGTAACACTTTCATATTTCCTGGCAACCAAAGAGATTAAGAATTACATAATTTGAAGTCATATCTAGGTTTGAATTCTGGCTCGCCATTTACTGGCTATATGAGTGTAGGCAAACTACTTACCCTCTCCTAGCATTAATTCCTCTCTTAGCCTCAGTTTTCTCACCTATAAATGGAAATAACTTCATTATTTTAAAAATCAAATGAAAATATGTTGAAAGTACCTGATACATGTAGGCATTAAATAGCCATGCTATTTTGATGGATTAATGAATATTGACCTTTACTTCAGTTTCCAGGAATATGGATCTACTGGAACAGCCCATGCTGATAGTGAATATGAAAGAAGAATGATGTCTGTATATAATCATGTCTTGGAGGAGGTAGAATCACTCAATCGGAAATATACCCCTGTTTCTTATATGGCAAGTGGCATTTGTTTTATTGAGCTTTTATTGTATGGAAGTAGGTTTTTCACACATCTCTGGTACTTGCTGTGTGAGTTCAACAAATTAACCTTGCTGTGCCTGTTTTCCTTATCTATAAAACAGGGTTTTTCTTCCTGGCCCTTGTGATAGCCATCTTCTAACTGTGTCTTCACGTGGTAGGGAGAGATTGAGAGCTGTAGTCACTCTTCCTCTTCTTTAAGAACACTCATCCCATCATGGGAGCCCACCTCCAAATGCCATTATTTTGGGGGTTAGGGCTTCCACATACGAATTTGGGGGAACACAAACATTCAATCTACAATCCCCAGTCTTTGAACTTTACCCCTTGGAAAGTTTATCTTCTCCTGCTGCTGCTCTTCTCATTCTGTACTTTCGTGCTTTAACAAGTGTTTTAGAATAAATAGAATGTGTCATTAAAGAGTTAGGTTAGATCTAAAGACGGAAAGTTCTCTTGACATACTGCTTTCCATATAAAATTGTCAGTTGTATTTACTGAATCAAATTGACAGCTGTTTGTCAGTGACATTGTTTGCTAAGGGAGAGTGAAAGACAGTCTTTGAAGGAAATACATCTGTGTGAGGCAGTTGTTATTTTCACATTCCTCTAAGCTTCATCCTAAAAAATGAAGTAGATGCTAAACAGAAATTTCATTTTGATGGAATTGAATCACACCATATATAATGGAATGGGAATTTTCTGCCCAGGAGAAAACACAGTACAGAAAAAAGGACCCTAGGCCCATTCAGAACTAGGTTCAAATTCTGGCATTACCACTGAGCAGCTTTGCGACTTTGGGCATATTACTTAACATCCTTTTATATGAAGAGGAAAAAAATGGCTGCCTCATAGGATTACTGTAAGGTTTAAATGAAATAATGCTTATTGCCTAGTACAGTGCTCACATATAAGGAGTGGTAAATAAAAGTTATTTCCCAGCCTGGTGCAGTGGCTCATGCCTATAATCCCAGCACTTTGGGAGGTTGAGGCAGGCGGATCACCTGAGGTCAGCAGTTCGAGACCAACCTGGCCAACATGGTAAAACCCTGTCTCTACCAAAACCACAAAACTTAGCCAGGCGTGATGGTGAGCCCTGTAATCCCAGCTACTCAGGAGGATGAGGCAGGAGAATCATTTGAACCCAGAAGACAGAGGTTGCATTGAGCCGAGATTGTGCCATTGTACTCCAGCCTGGGCAACAAGAATAAAACTTCGTCTCAAAAAAAAAAAATTAATAAATAAAAATAAAAGTTATTTCCCTTTTTCTCCATTTCCAAATTATATTTTATAGATTTTATACTTTTTGAGCCTCCAAATTCAGTTCAACAGTATTTATGGGATCCTAGGAACAGAAAAATGACAAAGACACAGGATCTTCCCTCAAATTGTCCATAGTCTAAGAAAGAAAGATAAACAAATACAATACAGTACATGTGCATTAATAGAATTCTGCACAAAGTAGAGATGTAATACAAAAAAGAGAGTAATTCACATTGAAAGAGGAAAAATGGATTGGTGGTGCAGTTGAGAGAGAAGATATCTTTATATATGAGTTTTCCAGACAGATAAGAAGGGTTTGGGAATCTCAGGCAGAGAACATGTTCAAAAGCAGAGGCATGAAATAACATGGTGTCTTCTAGGAACAGCTTGTTATTGCTGCAGCGTAACATACAGGCTAGGGACTAGAGAGATGAAATCAGAGAGGTAGCCAGCAGCCAGGTGACAAAAGGCTTTGAACACAGTATTAAGGAGTTTGGACTTTGTTCTTGGGCACTGGGGGGCGTCTTAGAAATTTTAAATGGTTGGGAGAGAGAAGTGCTTAATACAGATTGTATATTATTGTTACATAGAAGCAAAGCAGGAAATGCTGTTAGGGTGTGAAATTAGAGGAAAGAATGACTACAAGGTTTTTTCAGTCATCCAAAGTAAGGAATAAATTACTAAAATGGCAGTAGAATGAGAAAAACAGATAGAGATGAGAGATATTTAGTGAAAATATTTTCCAGGCTGAATTTTCTTTTTTTAACTAGAAATGAGATGATGGAGACATGCCTTCCAGGTTTCCAGCTTGAATGACTAGTTACAACAACTGATTGATCCTTTACTGAGAGAATATAGAGAGGTGATAGAAGATGAAGTTTTTATTTTCAAACATGTTGCCATTTTTAGGCAATTGGATAATAAATAGGTTGGAGTTGGAAGAAAGATGGACTGGGATGCATATAAGGTGATCTGCACATACAAGTTCTTAAAGTCATGGGAGTGGGGAGAATTGCCTATGAAAAATACTTGAATTAAAAAAAAAAAAGAAAAAGAAAAATACTTGAATTGAGAAGAGAAGATGACTAGGAGAGCATCAACTTTAAGGGACATATAAGAGGCTCTTCACAAAGAAGATGGTGAAAGGAAGAATCAGAAATAAGTAAGGATGGTGACTATTAGGTGGAATTTCATGGAAGGAAAAGCATTATCAGGTGCCACAGAAATGTCAGAAAATACAAAGACTGAAAAGTGTCCATTGGATTGACAATTAAGAGAGCATTAACATCATCCTTCTGCTGGTTTACTGATCCTGAGGTCAATACCCAAGGGGCTGTTGACCTCAGAGGCACTCCACATTTTTCTAAGGGGGGTATTGCAAAACCTGCACCATTTTTTTTAAAAGGCAAAATGGTGGCTTTCTGCCTGAAAACAGCCTGAAGTCACTTGTCCTCTGAGTCTACCCTTCAAAGATGTTTCTCTCCTACACACTATTGTGGCATCAGAGGTCCACCAGAGGTGGATGTTCCTGCATATACTTTATAGATTACTTGTTGGAGGAAATCTGAAGAAATAGAACCAATGTCTTTAAATCTTTGTTGTCATTATCTCAGGTAATAGACCTGGCATTTGTACTGAGTCTGTTGGGCACAAAATGTTCCACTGCCTGAACCCAGTAAGGAATGGAATTTTCTGGCTTTTAGCCTTAACACCCAACTTAAAAGTGTTTACAGCATGAGCAACTAGGTCACACTCTGCTTGAAAGCAAAAGCTTAGAGGGACAGGCAGCATACCACATGGTGCATGCAGCAGGTTTTAACCTGTGGTGCCTTAGGAGGCCACCAAGTCAGGAGCAGACTGAGGAAGGGATAGTAGACCAAGCAGGAGTTGAAAGTGTTCTGATGATGCTTTCAGTTTTAAGTTTGCAAATTATCGGTGATATAGAAGAAAATCACTGAAGAGTCAGGTAACCTAGATTCTAGTCCCAGCTTGTTCCATTACCCATCTGTGTGACCTGTGTCATCAGCAATATTGATGATTAAACTGGTTAATCTTTAAAGTATCTTTGAACTCTTAAATTCTGATTCTATGATTAAGGCTCAGAATATTCTCTGCAGTGTTTCTGTACCTCTGCAGTCATCCTGGGATTTTCAAAACTCAATTACTTATTGAGAAATAAGGTATTTTATTAAAGTGTCAGGATTCCCCGATGATATATAGTCCTCCTTCATATGAATTCTACTGTTTCCACCATTGCTTACTCTGTGAGGACCAATGGCCATAGAGACAAAGAAGCCACCTAGTGGAGATGGGATGAAAGAATGAGCCAGCTCAAAGCCAAGGTCCTACAAATGCTCAAGCTTCTTTACCATACTATTTATCATACTCTACCATGTGATACTCTATATTTTAGTATCTACTACAATTGTTTAATACGTCTAATGGTTCTAAGTGCTGTAGAAATGTGAAATTTGCCTATTGCTTGATCTCGAGGACTGGATTTTCTCATTTCTGTCACTTATATTTTATTGAATATACTTCACAATAAAGTAAAAACCTGTAATTGTGATTCTTGACATGAATGATTTAGTATGTATACACAGTTCCTGGATGTTGTTCTTGATTGGTATGTACATTTATAATAATCTGTATGGGCATTTGTAGTTTTATACTGAATGTATCACTTGTTGATGAAATTTGAAAATTTATTTTTATTTGATTTAGTTTCTTTTTTCCCCCCAGCATACAGCATGCCTCTGCAATGCCATCATTGCTTTGCTGAAAGTTCCCCTTTCTTTCCAGAGATATTTTTTCCAGAAACTACAGTCTACTAGCATCAAGGTAATATTAATACTAAGGTTAATATAGGTTTTAAAACCAGGTGTCTTCTGAGGATTATGTAGGATGTAGCTACACTTTATTGTGTTACCTTTGGTTTGTTGTGTGTTTTGGTTTTTTTTTTCCTTTTCCTGTTCTTTTCTTTTTTTTGAGACAGAATCTCAACTCTGTCTTCCAGGCTGGAGTGTAGTTGTGTGATCTTGGCTCACTGCAACCTCTGGGTTCAAGCGATTATCCTGCCTCAGCCTCCTGAGTAGCTGGGATTATAGGCATCTGCCACTACGCCCAGCTAATTTTTGTATTTTTAGTAGAGATGGACTTTCACCATGTTGGCCAGGCTAGTCAGGAACTCCTGACCTCAAGTGATCCACCTGCCTCCGCTTCCCAAGGTGTTGGGACACAGGTGTGAGCCACAGTACCTGGCCTACCTTTGGTTTTGATAAAACCTGGTTGTAAGCCATTTCTCTCCTTTATCAAGTGGTTTGGTGAAAGGAATGGATTTGAGAGTTAAACTCTCTCCCTTTTTAATTGTTGGTGCCAAATGCTAAAAGACAGGCATTTGGGTAACTGGAGCGCTGTTGTTTGTCTCTTACCTCCAGGAATAAATTAGTGATTTATCACA